AACAACAACAACAACATGGACTTTACACAGAAGCAGGAACAAATGTATGAATCATCTTCAAAGCACAGCCTATTCGATTCTTCCATCAGGGTAGAAAATTGAAATGATCTTTCTCTTTCTACTTGGCTCAATCTTGAGGCCACTTAAAAAAAAAAATACTGATGGTGCCAAACTTACTGAGTGGTTAAAAATCTGCTGCACGAGACACATTAGATCAGAAATAAAGGCCGGAAAAGGGTGGTTCTATTAGTTACATAGTGCTGGTGGCCTCCTGGTAAGAAGTGGCACTGTCCACCTAAAGGCGTGTAGTCTGGGTCCACCAGCTGCTCCATGGAAAAGACATGGGCAATCTCCTCTCAGTCAATTTATTGCGTCAAAACCTGCTGCAGAGTGAGCTATGGGCCAGTTCTGACTTGGTAGTGCATAAAAACAATCCCTTGTTGCACAGTTGCTATGTCATTATTTTGAAATTATCATTCTACCATAACATGCATATTAAGTTGTGTTATTGTTGTGTGCTGTTGAGTTAGAACCAAACCAGAGATGGCCCTCCAGTGGGTTTTCAGAGGCAGTTAATCATATGAGAAGGGACTGCCAATCTTTCTTTCACAGGGCAGCTGGCAGATGTGAGCCACGCACTTGTGCAGCAATCAAAAGCAATCAAAGCTCCTGTTTGGAGTATTATTCATACTGTGTTGTTATCTGCCATAAAGTTGGTCTCAACTCAGGGAGAACCCATGTATGCAGAATAGGCATGAATTCCAAAAATTTTTCAAAGTTGTAACCTTATAGAAGCAAATTTATCTTTTGATATATCTCTAGGTGGGTCTCAAAGCCAAACCTTCAGCTAGTAGCCTGTGGTTTTTATGTGCTGTCAAGTCTACTACAACTCACAGTGACCCTATCTATGAACAGTGGCTCTGAACCTTGTCAGCTTCACCATCTCAGGCACACCAGAGCCCACTGCCACTGTCTCAATCCATCTCCTCCTCATAGGTCTTCCTTTCTTGAACCAAGCCTCTATCTTCCCAAGCTGATGTCTTACTCCAAGAAACGGCCCTCATTACAACATGCCCAAAGTATGTGAGATGGAATTTCACCATCTTTGTGTTTAACCATTTGAGTCACTCAATGACTCCTGTATTACTATCAATAGCAATACAGTATTTTAAAGTGTTAAATTTGGTTCCTGTCATTATCTGTCAATTTGTTGTATTGTGGACTTTGAAAGAAAACCAAACAAATGTCTTTGAAAAGGTGTAGACAGGGTGCTCCTTACAAGCAAAGGTTGTAAAACTTTATCTCACATATTTTGACATGTTAGTAGGAGTGGCCAGTTCCAGGGGGGAGGAGGGGAGATGTTGTTAGTCTTGGTAAAGTAGAGTTAGTAAAAAAGAAGAACGTCAACAAGATGGACTGATATCATGGCTACATCAATGAGCTTAAGCACAGCAGAGATTGTCTAGTTTCATTCTGTTGTACTTAGATGGTGGAAGATTGGACAGTTTCATTCTGCTGTCTATAGGGTCACTATAAGTCAGTTGAGTAGACAACCTCTAAGAACAATAGCAATGTCGGTTTCTTTCACCAAAGTAACTTCCTCTTTAAAACAAGAAAAGCACACTGCTAGTTCACAAATGAAACATTTCAACTATTTTAAAATTCAGGGAAAGAGAAAAAAAAAAATAACAAAGATCTATATAAGAGCATCTTAGAGTTTCTTAAATTTGTATCAATATATGTTATGACTTTATTCTTTTTTTGGAAGTCACTAGCTCAGCCATTTCATATCCTCTTGTTTCTTAGATGATGTGAGCCCACAAAACACACAAACTCAATTTCATGTTGAGTTAATTTCATGTTGTCTTAAGCAATGTATAACTAGGAAGAAAAATCTTCCACACAGATTTGTGTGTAACATATTCCACACTTCATATAGAAGATTTCTGTAATTCCTACTTTTACAGTTGATGTCTATTGTTCGGTCAGTGACTAGTAAAGATAAATGCAGACAAAATACAATATCAATTTTTCATATTCTAAATATCATTGGTTTTCAGGAAAGTCCCCTATGATCATTACCTTCATATCTATTTCAGTGCCATGTATTTGTTGAGCTACGGTTTTAATGATTCCAATGACAATGTCCTGAAGTCCTTCTCTCTCAGAATAGTAGTGCAGAATGAGTCCTTTGCCCTTTTCCGCATCTGTGCACCGAAAGGAAGGTGCACGCATCCCTGGGTAGATAGTAGCAAGGTGGTCGTGCAAAGCATCAAGGTTCTGCAATGAAAAGGAAATCCTGATAATAAACAATGCTTCCACAATGTCTTACCTGCATTTAGGTAAGTAACATACAGAAATAAGACATTAAGCTCTTTTGATAGATCAGTTAAGTAAACATTCACACAGTACATCCTTTGCTTGCTTCACTAAACTACTTGTATGGTAAGAACCATGCTATTGTTATTATGTGTTGTCAAGTTGGAATCACTGATTACCTTCCAGTTGGTTTTCAGAAGCCATAAATTTCACAAGAGGAGAATATTCATCTTCTTTTTCTGCAGAGCAGCTGGTGTATGGCAAGAACCACAGGGTATCAAAATTGTGTTAAGTGTCACTGAGTCACCTGCGACTCATAGAGACTCTATGTACAACAGCTCTGAAACCCGCCCTGTCCTGAGCCACTCTCACCAACTCCAACATACCAACCCTCATCACTCCAGTTACTATGTGAAGCCATCTCATCTGGGGTCTTCCTCTCCTGCACTGTCCCTCCACCCTTCCAAGCATGATGTCCTTCTCCATGAATTGGTCCCTCTTGGCCACATGCCCAGAGTGTGTGAGACTGAGCTTCAAAATCCTAGCTTCCAAGGACAAACTTCGTTTCATCCTCTTTGAGACAGACTTAATTTGTTATCTTAGCGGTCCATAGTATGTCCAAGACTCTTCTCCAGTGCCGCAACTCAAAGACATCAATTCTTCTCTCATCCTTAGTCATTGTCCAGCTCTCTGATGCATAGTAAGTAATTATGAAGATGATGGCTGGAAATAGGTGCTCCTAAATCTCTAGACTGATTTTGTTGCTCTTTAAGTACCTGACAACAAATTTTCGCACTGCAGTTAGTGTTGATTTCTTGACTGCTGGTGCCAAGATTGTTGTGGATTTGAGCAAGCTGTAATTGTTAAAAACATCAATCTCTTCTCCATCTATCATGGTGCTGCAATTGGCCCAGTGGTGAGAAACTTCTTGGTGGTGTGCTTCAATCCATATTGAAGACTACAGTCCTTGACCTTTTGCAGCAAGCACTTCAGGTCTTCCTCACTTTTAGCAAGCAAGGTTGTTTCATCTGCATAATGCAAGTTGCTGCCAATCTTGATGCCACATTCCTCCTCATAAAGCCCAGTTTCCTGGATAATCTGTTCTGCATATAGATTGAAAAGGTATGGGGACAGAATGCATCCCTCATGTACTCCTTTCCTGATTTTGAACCATGTAGGTATGTTTCATTGCTCCGTTCTTAGGACTGCTTCCTGGTATGAATTATAGTTTTTGCAAGAGCACAATCAAGTGTTCTGGGATATTCCTCTGGTACTCTTTGCTTTCTGCCAAGATCCATCTAACATTGGTGATAATGTCTCTAGTGCCACCACTTCTTTTAAATACAGCTTGTATTTTTGACAGTTCTCTGTTGGTGTACTGTTCCGGTCATTTTTGGGTAATCTTTGAAGGCTGGATTTTGCTTGTATGTGATATTAGAGATACTGTTCAATAATTTCCACACTCTGTTAGGTCCTCTTTTTTTGGAATGTGCATAAATATGGATCTCTTCCAATCAGTTGGTCAGGTAGTTGTCCTCCACATTTCTTGGCACAACCTGGTGAGCACATCCACGGCAGCATCTATTTGTTGAAATATAACATGTCTTTTGGTATTCCATCAATTTATGAGGCCTTCTTTTTTTTTTTTTAAAAAAAAGGATTGATGGACTTTATTTTCCTAGAACTGAAATTGTCTACTGTCTCAGAGGTAAATTTTTCCAAAGCTATAGTCAGCAATTTTTCATCAAAGCCCAAGGGAGAAGGGGCAAGAGTGAAAGACCGGAGACAGAAGTGAAGCATAAATACCACTAGGAAGAGGTTGGATGAGGACTCTTATTTCCTTCTGTCCTCTCAGAATAGGTCACTAACTGTACCTGCTGATAGCACTGAGGGGACCAGGTGGGTATGTGGATGGGAAATGACACTGGAAGGAATACCAAACCCCAGCTAGAAAAAGAAAAGTCATTAAGCCCTCAAAAGATGGGGGGCATCCCAGTGAACCTTAGAAATAATAGGAAATCTAGGAACTGAGCAGAAGGGGGACAGAAGCAGTTGGGGAGATGTCTTTAAAATTTTTTTTAAATTTTCTTTTATTAAAAACATTTCCTAAAAAATGCATCCTTTTTTAAAAAAAAAAATCTGGGTAATTTACATGACTGTAGGCTGTCCTTGAGTGTTTATGGGTAGAGGGAACAGGGTAGCTTCGTTCCCACAAGCTATCCCTTTTCTCTGATCTCAGATTCTTGGCCCAAGCAACCTGAGTGCCCCCAAATCTTTTAATGATAAACTACCCCTCTCCTGGGTCAGCAACAGGAAAAATAAGCATTTTCATTGGAAGGGAGCCCATCCTCCGTACACTGTCCCACCTTCCCTGAATCTATGCAGTTGGGATGATAGGTATGGAAACAGCACCTCAGGGGATACCACTGTCCTGCCCTCCATACCGCTACAATAAATGGAGGGTTGCTTTATCCACGCCCCCCACAAGTCGATCTGTTACTTATCCTCCAGCCCTCTACTCCTGATCACAACTCAGAATTTCAGAATGCCTGTGGGTGAGGGAGAGAAAGGGGTGTCAAGAGGTGGGAAAAGCTGATCCAGGCCGAAGCCTGGGAAACAGTTCTAGGCAGGCAGGGAATATGGCTTTGTCTCAGGGAGTAAAGGGCATAGCCCTGACTTAGGTCACTGGGGTGTGGGAAAAGGAGGTGAGGGCCAGGCGGCCTGCTCCATCCAAGTCAATCTCTGGGGGCCATACTTGAAGGGGAAGAGTGAGTGGAAGAGAAGAATGGGATGCAGTGGGGAAGGGATTCCCAGTTCATAGGCCATGGTCAGTTTCCCCAGTAGAACTCAGACAGCAGCAAGAACGGGGCAGGGCTCCTCTTAAAACACTGGTAGCTAAAGGCTCTCATGATCTCTGCTGCCTGGGGCCTCAGCATCTTCCTTGGCAGCTTCCTCCTTCTCCTCCTCCTCTTCCTTCTGCTAAGAAGGCTCCCTGCCAGAGCCAGGCTCAGGGGGCTTGCTATTTTTCTCCATCTCTACAAGGAGATGTCTCTCACTCTCTAAGGTGTCCACTTCCTTCTCCTCTCATTCAGGGTCCTCAGCCTCCTTGGGACATTTTGGCAAGTCCTCCGGCAGGTTCAGTGCCCCCTTCTCATTCTTCTTGTTGACTGGCTCATCAATGACCAGCCTCCCCTCCTCATCATTGCTGCCCTTAGCGTTCCCTTTCTTGTTACCATCTCCCTCTGAGGCCTCGGGCTCTGGTTCAGACGCTTCCATGTGGCCCTTTTATCTGGAGGACTAACCAGAAGCCTTGATGGTAGGATTGTTTCCGATCTCCTAAGTCCCTCACTGAACCCTCTCCTACTGTTGGGCTTGCCAAACTTCCCCTTGGACTCATCATAAGGGAAGAGGTCTTGGGGGCCCAGGAATGCTGTCTCATGGGTCCCTTAAAAAAGACTTGGTTTTTGCTGGCTATTGATTTCACAGAAGCCTCAGGTATCTCCTCAATCTGGGCTGGGTAACCCTTCATCTTGGTGAACACCAGGTTCCCCGCATTTGTACTCCTTCTACCAGTTGGATCATGACATGGCGGGGCTCTGAAGCATGAGACCAAGTTTGCATGTGCGGCATTGGTGATGCCTCTCTGCTTTGTCCATCATGTGGTGGGGCCTTATTTTATGCCAAGTCCTTCAGAGAAGCCTGAACTTCCCCCTTCATCACCAGTGCCTCTTGATCATATGTTGTTTCTTGAAAGTCTTCTGTGCCAGCCAATTCTTTTTGGAACAGTGACTTTTTATATTCCTTCCATCTGCTTTTAATGCTTACCTGAATCATTCAATATTCTGGCCATACTATCCTTAAATATTGCAACTCATGGCTTGAATTTGTTCTTTAGTCCTTAAGCTTAAGAAATGCCAAGTGAGTTCAGCCCCTCTGATTTTCAGAGCCCAGTTATTTATAAGCACATTTCATTTTAATACTTTGCTGTGTCTTCCCGAGCTGTCCTTTAAAATTTTCTACTAAGCACTTTAACTTCTTGACTTCTTTCCTTTGTTTTGGCTTTTCAGTGCACTAGTGCAATATTTAGCATCTCTTCTGACATCCATTTTGGTCTGTTCGTAATGCTTTAAAATAGGTTAAGTAAAAAAGTATGAACCGAAATGGAGTAGGAAAATTAATTCATGAATAGGAGACATTTGAAGATCAGGAAACTGATTCACTCAAATTTCTGTGCTTGTGAAATGCTCAAGGCTTGAAGCCTCCTTGGAAATGTCTTTTGTATTTACTCGTGCAAGCACTGGTCCCTGGTTTATCCTGCATGCAGTAATGGAACTGAAGGGTTCCTAGATAAACACATGTAAGATGCTTTGAAATGCTGCCAGGTTGTTTAGATTGTTTGTACCATTTTTCAAATTTCCATCAGAAAATATACTATTACCTTGTTGTTGTTGTTGTTATGTGCTGTCGAGTCGTTTGCGACTCATAGCGACCCTATGTACAACAGCCCTAAACCCAGTTCTATCCTCTGCCAATCGCATTGCCTCTGACACACCCATCCCGATTACCTCAGTCACTGAATCAATCCACCTCATAGAGGGTCTTCCCCTCCTGCGCTGTCCCTCTACTCTACCCAGCACGATGTCCCTCTCCAAGGACCTGTCTCTCCTTACAACATGTCCAAAGTATGTCAGACAAAGCCCCAGAATCCTTGCCTCCAAGGAGCAGCCTGGTTTGGCAGTCCATGGTACATTCAATACTCTTCTCCAGCACCACAGCTCAAAGGCGTCAATTCTCCGTCTGTCCTCCCTAGTCATTGCCCAACTCTCTGATGCATAACAAGTGATTGCAAAAACCATGGCCTGTATCAGGTGCACCTTAGTCTCCAGAGAGACACCGTTGCTCTTGAGTACTTTAGAGAGGTCCCTAACCGCAGACTTTCCCATCGCAATTCGTTTTTTTAT